GCTCTCCACCCCAAGAAGTTTCTTCTTGAGTTTCCGATGAGACCATTTGACGAATCCCTTCAAAATAACTATATCTTCGAAATCAAGAGTCGTTTCACCCTAATTCACTATGTGCTTCTTTGAAGTCCAACTTTACTTCATATAACGTGATTTTTGGTGGCAGCTGCTACAGACAGTGTATGACACTCTGTGACAACTTTCTATCGCTGCAGTTGGTACATGGTGGGCAATATGACAAGGATAGTAATTTACCATTTTTTGATGGTTTGATGATCTTAACAGGAAAGAAATTAAGCAGGGATGCATATGGGAAGCCCAAGTACACTGGCTTCCTCCTTAATTTCTTCTCCAACCATAGTTACAAAACAATTTATTGTTTTAAAATCTATCGTTGCTTGGAGCATAAGACTAGCCGACAGAGACCATTGTGATAGTGAATTGGATCTGCTTAAACTAATATTAAAATAGTCTTACTAAGCTTATGCACCTTGTCCGAATCCTCTGTTATTGTAGTTATTATATTTCCCAGCCTCTCAACGTGGATTTGGAACATTCCCAGACATTTCAAGGGCATCGCCAATGACCCTTGCCATTTTTAGCGTCAAGCTACAACTCGTCAAAGAGACAAGTGACGTCAATCTATTGACCAACGGTTGTACTATCACTCCCTTCTCTATCATGGCCCATCTCTCGGCTCCTTACCCTCGTATCACACTCAGCGCTATCACAAATTGTAATTAGTTTTTATATATTCTCCAAAATGTGCCCGGAGAAAATCCTGACCTTCTTTGAAGGTCCTAGCTGCCTATGATCCAAGGACACTCGTGGTCATGTGGCGTAGTGGTTAATTTATTGAGATTACACCCTGCGCTGTCATGGTTCGAGTCCCATTGAGGTGTTGTTGAGGTGGGCGAGATCTAAACTGCAAGGATAAGTACATTTTTTGGAAGCAAGACTATGCGAAATTCAATGGAAGCGTCATCTCTACTCATATCATTGTGGGAAAATTCAACTACCAGTCCTTCATCACCTTAAACGAAATAGGATGAATACATCTCATGTAAGAATGATACCCTACCATGATTATATCCTTCATATGACAAGCGAAAGCCTAGTACATTTTCAGCGGAATCAAAGTCGATTACCTTAGCAACAGCATCGACAAAAATATTCGATTAAAGCCAATCGACAGCTGGTCAAGATGATTCCACCTCCGTTTTCTGGTTGGATCAGCTTGAGAAATTCTTCACAAAATAATTTCACTCGAAATGGAAGAGAACTCAATAATACACTTTAGGCCCAAGCTTGTATATCCTCCTCTAAATAAGCCCACTCTACCGGTAGTTCCGAGTACCCTCGCTGACCTAAATGGTGCTCAAAATGCTAAATCCTATTATAAACAGGGAAAAATTGTCTTCCAAACTATCTAAGCCTTTTTAGCCAGATCAAGGCTTGTACATATCACGTCTAATCATATAATTTTGATAAAGTTCAACTACAAGTCCCGTATAACCTTTAACGAAATGGTATGAGTACATCTCATTTATACATTATAGTCACAGTATAAACGTTTCGCTTTTAACCACCCAGAGCCCCAGTGAGTGCATCGATGAACCAGTAACAAATCGGTGCATCACTTTATTGATGTGGCGTTGGTGATCCTATTTAAGTAAGTTAACTGCAAGTCTGAGCAAGTTCTGTTGCGGTACTTAAATAATCACAAAAGATCCTATTTAAGATAATAAAAGTTAAGAGAATCGTATCTTTCTTATTCAGCCATGAAATATGCGTCTCTAACTTACAATTTTCACTTTATCAACTAGTCAAAGAGGAGCCCAAATTATGGTGACTCTGCTTTCTGTAGGAAGACAAAGGAAGGTATTTTT